AGAAGAAGAAGAAGAAGAAGAAGAAGAAGAAGAAGAAGAAGAAGAAGAAGAAGAAGAAAATTCTAAAGACACTGTATAAGAAAAGGGAGTTAAAGGATGCAGGTTAATATATGCTACCTTAGCTATAATTAATCATGATTTATATAATTTATACTGTAATTAAATGTGAAGTATATAATTCATATAATTATAACATGAAAATTATTCCATTCATACTTCCATTTTCAGGTATTGTAAGCAGGTCACCCAAGTTGAGAAAACAATTTTTTTTATCATGGAAATGTTTCTAAAATACTGTACCAGTATCTATGGTTTTACCGTTTTGCAGCTATCTTTAGATAAAGAATGAGTTAATACATTTCCAGATATTAAGTTTATCTTAGGTTTTTTATTTCTTTTGAAGATGACGAGTTGTTTCCACCAAAAAAAGTAAATTTGGCAGCGGTAGATGAACTCCTGTCCTCAACTTTGACAATAATCAAATAGATTGCTGCATGTTAGCTGTTGAAGGCACAGGGAGAGTGCAGGATTGCAGGAGAAAATCAGTAGAAAACCCTCTGTGCGTGCACAAAGCACACAAAGTGTGCAAAACACACCCACCAAGCCATGCCCACAGAACCGGTGGTAAAAAAAAATTGAATCCCACTTTTGATCAAGATGTTTTAATGTGAGAAAACACAATCTTATACAAAATTGTATAATTGTATCAATATCCTAGAATTGGTGATAAAGGAAACCTACAAGCTAGAATAAATTTATAATGCTATAAGGCAGAAACAAATGTCCAAAACCAGTGTCTGAGGCTCTTCAGATCATAGAAGTTGCCACCGAGGGCCCACTTACAATCACCCATTTCAATTGAGCTGAGAATTCAAATTTTACTTTAGAGAATTCAAAGGCATTTGTACTCTAAAAAGCAAGAGTCACAAAAAGTTAGCTGCCACAAGCAGAAAAAAACAAATCCACTAGAGCTTTTTTGCTTTGTTTTGTTTTAGGTTGCTTATTTCATTTTATTGAAGAAAATAGTAATGTATAGATTACAGAGCAAGCTATGGCTATACGGTTACCTCATAGTTAGAGTAAAATAATCCAATTAAGTGATCTGATAAATCACTTCTCTCGAGAATATGCACACCGAGCCATGAATGCACATATAGCCAGAAGCAGCTACAGAAGCATCTGCATGATTCTTGCAAATAATATGCTTGGTTAATTATTTAAAGAAAGATACTTTATTCACATTGCTGTATATTGCAAAACAACTCTTTCAAGATGCCTTTCAACAATCCTAACCCTTTTACACACTTGTTCCCAAGCAAAACAGATAATTCTTTCATAACTTTTGTTTTGTCTTTTTGATTGTCTTGTTTGCTGCTTACTTTAAAGAGTTATTTAGAAATGCTAATTACACTACTATACGTATCATAGTGCTTTTGCCAAAACATCAAAGTCATAGTCATGGCCGTTACCAGATTGCAATGAGAACATATCAATATTTCTTAAAACTAATTGCTAGCTAACAAACAAATACCATATTTACATCAAGTGGCAAAAGCAATATTACATAAGCAGTATATGATAATGCCTGGACAAATAGTCAACAATAGTTATTTTAATGACAGAACAGCTACAGCCAAATAATAGCTTTTTAATGATAGGATTGCCTTTAATCATTAATGGCAAACTAATATAGAATCCTTGCAGAAAATCACCTAATATACTACCAATACAATTTATTATTCAAAACATTTGTGAATGTGCAGAAATGGAAAAAAATCACACTAAAATTAAAAGGAAAAGAGGGGGAGGAATTTTTACTCGACCTGGAATAAGTGGTATGATTGGCTAGAACATAAAAAAAAGGTATAATCCAACAACAAATATTAACAACAGAACATTATGTTTGATAGAATATGAATAACAGAGAACCCATAGGAAATAAGATATAACTGCTACATAATATAATTTAGGAAATATTTAACTCACTGTCAAATGTATTGAAGGAAAGTTTAATTAGTTTAAGCACAGAGATTATGGTAACGTTTGTCTGTATGAATCTTTGTTTTTTGAGTCTGTATATTTGTATATTTTAATTTTTTGTATTCAATAAAATTGATTTAAAAAAAGAATCCTT